ATAGAGAGGACGTTTGATGAGTGAGGGGAGGAGAAGGGAGAGGAGGAATAATGAAATCGAACGTTGTGGTCCATAGAATGGGGAAGGAGGAAAGGAAGGAGATGAGGGAGAAGGAGAAAGAGAAGAAGATATAGAGAGGACGTTTGATGAGTGAGGGGAGGAGAAGGGAGAGGAGGAATAATGAAATCGAACGTTGTGGTGATAGAATGGGGAAGGAGGAAAGGAAGGAGATGAGGGAGAAGGAGAAAGAGAAAAGATATAGAGAGGACGTTTGATGAGTGAGGGGAGGAGAAGGGAGAGGAGGAATAATGAAATCGAACGTTGTGGTCCATAGAATGGGGAAGGAGGAAAGGAAGGAGATGAGGGAGAAGGAGAAAGAGAGAAGAAGATATAGAGAGGACGTTTGATGAGTGAGGGGAGGAGAAGGGAGAGGAAGAATAATGAAATCGAACGTTGTGGTGATAGAATGGGGAAGGAGGAAAGGAAGAGATGAGGGAGAAGGAGAAAGAGAAAAGATATAGAGAGGACGTTTGATGAGTGAGGGGAGGAGAAGGGAGAGGAGGAATAATGAAATCGAACGTTGTGGTCCATAGAATGGGGAAGGAGGAAAGGAAGGAGATGAGGGAGAAGGAGAAAGAGAGAAGAAGATATAGAGAGGACGTTTGATGAGTGAGGGGAGGAGAAGGGAGAGGAAGAATAATGAAATCGAACGTTGTGGTCCATAGAATGGGGAAGGAGGAAAGGAAGGAGATGAGGGAGAAGGAGAAAGAGAAAAGATATAGAGAGGACGTTTGATGAGTGAGGGGAGGAGAAGGGAGAGGAGGAATAATGAAATCGAACGTTGTGGTCCATAGAATGGGGAAGGAGGAAAGGAAGGAGATGAGGGAGAAGGAGAAAGAGAGAAGAAGATATAGAGAGGACGTTTGATGAGTGAGGGGAGGAGAAGGGAGAGGAGGAATAATGAAATCGAACGTTGTGGTGATAGAATGGGGAAGGAGGAAAGGAAGGAGATGAGGGAGAAGGAGAAAGAGAAAAGATATAGAGAGGACGTTTGATGAGTGAGGGGAGGAGAAGGGAGAGGAAGAATAATGAAATCGAACGTTGTGGTCCATAGAATGGGGAAGGAGAAAGGGAAAGGGAAGGAGGGAGAAAGAGAGAAGAAGATATAGAGAGGACGTTTGATGAGTGAGGGGAGGAGAAGGGAGAGGAGGAATAATGAAATCGAACGTTGTGGTCCATAGAATGGGGAAGGAGGAAAGGAAGGAGATGAGGGAGAAGGAGAAAGAAAAAAGATATAGAGAGGACGTTTGATGAGTGAGGGGAGGAGAAGGGAGAGGAGGAATAATGAAATCGAACGTTGTGGTCCATAGAATGGGGAAGGAGGAAAGGAAGGAGATGAGGGAGAAGGAGAAAGAGAAAAGATATAGAGAGGACGTTTGATGAGTGAGGGGAGGAGAAGGGAGAGGAGGAATAATGAAATCGAACGTTGTGGTCCATAGAATGGGGAAGGAGGAAAGGAAGGAGATGAGGGAGAAGGAGAAAGAGAAAAGATATAGAGAGGACGTTTGATGAGTGAGGGGAGGAGAAGGGAGAGGAGGAATAATGAAATCGAACGTTGTGGTCCATAGAATGGGGAAGGAGGAAAGGAAGGAGATGAGGGAGAGAAAGAGGAGAAAGAGAGAAGAGAGATATAGAGAGGACGTTTGATGAGTGAGGGGAGGAGAAGGGAGAGGAGGAATAATGAAATCGAACGTTGTGGTCCATAGAATGGGGAAGGAGGAAAGGAAGGAGATGAGGGAGAAGGAGAAAGAGAAAAGAAGATATAGAGAGGACGTTTGATGAGTGAGGGGAGGAGAAGGGAGAGGAGGAATAATGAAATCGAACGTTGTGGTGATAGAATGGGGAAGGAGGAAAGGAAGGAGATGAGGGAGAAGGAGAAAGAGAAAAGATATAGAGAGGACGTTTGATGAGTGAGGGGAGGAGAAGGGAGAGGAGGAATAATGAAATCGAACGTTGTGGTCCATAGAATGGGGAAGGAGGAAAGGAAGGAGATGAGGGAGAAGGAGAAAGAGAAAAGATATAGAGAGGACGTTTGATGAGTGAGGGGAGGAGAAGGGAGAGGAGGAATAATGAAATCGAACGTTGTGGTCCATAGAATGGGGAAGGAGGAAAGGAAGGAGATGAGGGAGAAGGAGAAAGAGAGAAGAAGATATAGAGAGGACGTTTGATGAGTGAGGGGAGGAGAAGGGAGAGGAAGAATAATGAAATCGAACGTTGTGGTCCATAGAATGGGGAAGGAGGAAAGGAAGGAGATGAGGGAGAAGGAGAAAGAGAGAAGAAGATATAGAGAGGACGTTTGATGAGTGAGGGGAGGAGAAGGGAGAGGAAGAATAATGAAATCGAACGTTGTGGTGATAGAATGGGGAAGGAGGAAAGGAAGGAGATGAGGGAGAAGGAGAAAGAGAAAAGATATAGAGAGGACGTTTGATGAGTGAGGGGAGGAGAAGGGAGAGGAGGAATAATGAAATCGAACGTTGTGGTCCATAGAATGGGGAAGGAGGAAAGGAAGGAGATGAGGGAGAAGGAGAAAGAGAAAAGATATAGAGAGGACGTTTGATGAGTGAGGGGAGGAGAAGGGAGAGGAAGAATAATGAAATCGAACGTTGTGGTCCATAGAATGGGGAAGGAGGAAAGGAAGGAGATGAGGGAGAAGGAGAAAGAGAAAAGATATAGAGAGGACGTTTGATGAGTGAGGGGAGGAGAAGGGAGAGGAGGAATAATGAAATCGAACGTTGTGGTCCATAGAATGGGGAAGGAGGAAAGGAAGGAGATGAGGGAGAAGGAGAAAGAGAAGAAGATATAGAGAGGGCGTTTGATGATTGAGGGGAGGAGAAGGGAGAGGAAGAATAATGAAATCGAACGTTGTGGTGATAGAATGGGGAAGGAGGAAAGGAAGGAGAAAAGATATAGAGAGGACGTTTGATGAGTGAGGGGAGGAGAAGGGAGAGGAAGAATAATGAAATCGAACGTTGTGGTCCATAGAATGGGGAAGGAGGAAAGGAAGGAGATGAGGGAGAAGGAGAAAGAGAGAAGAAGATATAGAGAGGACGTTTGATGAGTGAGGGGAGGAGAAAGGAGAGGAGGAATAATGAAATCGTACGTTGTGGTCCATAGAATGGGGAAGGAGGAAAGGAAGGAGATGAGGGAGAAGGAGAAAGAGAAAAGATATAGAGAGGACGTTTGATGAGTGAGGGGAAGAGAGAGAGAGATAGGACGTTTGATGAATGAAAGGGGAGGAGAAGGAGAGGACGTTTGATGAGTGCGAAATGTAATGTACGTGTAAAATGAAACCAGGATGACACAAGCCTGATATGCCAGTTTATCTATTGTCAAGGTGATTACGTTTGTTCACACGTATATTAAAGTAATATCAGGTAACGAAGTCTGGTTATCCTCCAAACTTGAATCCATACGGGAATCCTAACCCTGACCATTGTCGATGCCAAAAAACTAGGGTATGCTTTTGATACGTTTTTTATCTATCATTCTGATGAATAGACTATACCAAAACAATTGACATGATTACTTGTGCGGATATAAACTAACAAGTCGTCAACGTTTTTGATCCATCCTAAAATAATTATTAGTTTTCTTCGTGGGAGACGAGGCGTGTATACACTGTATGCTGCTACAATATATAAAACGACATAACCTTTTATTATAAATCTTAAAACGCGGTAGTTTAGTGACATGCGTCGATATAAAACAATTAACATGCTGTCAAGATAAGAATTATGATAGCACTTGATTGGTACTTAGGTACAGGTATGACTGCACTATAAACATGTGAGACTACTCACGAATAAAAACTAAAACCCAATGACGACAAGGTGATCATTACCTGTACTGAAGTTCGGGCACCGACTGTGACGTCGACAAATCAGGTACATTTATATATTTAAATAGAGGAACATGTATGGAGGGTCGGCTGGGCCGTACGAGAATTTGAGGCTACCGAAGAAAAAATGCAGTTGATTATTTCAAATGCATATACGGCCAGATAATGCAAATGACATGTTGATTCAGTTACATATTGTGGCACACAAGTAGTCATATATGTACGAGAGTGTCTAGTCCCTCGTCATCTCGATTCAGAACTATAACGTGTACGTGCACTTGGAGTATCGAGGATGAATAACACAGATACTCCAAATATACCCGTAGCAAGTTCTCAATTCCCTGTGGACAAAATAGGGTAGGCTGGAAAATCCTATACCTTGTAAATCTATTTTCTTACTATAAAGTGTTAAGCAAGTGCTAGCGACCATATATATTTTTCACGTCGGATTGGAATTACATCCTTCTCTGTCAAAGATGAGAATGCTAACGACTGCGCCACCCGACCACCCAGCCCACAATGACGACTCCGTTGAGGGGGGACATTCACTGACTTACTGAACATATTGCGTCCAGTCCACATTATTTTGAAGCTGTATTTGAAATTATTGGCAGTCGAAGATCGTTTATCCAACAAATAGAATCAATATGTTCCCAAGCGACTGCCGTAATATCGCCTCCCATTCCAATATCAAGTAATTGAATTACACACACGGTGAGTCACGTGATTAGCAACACAGCTCTTTGAACCCCGAGACACAAAAGAGTTCTACATAAGTATCTGACCTAAGCCAGCTTAACATATAAATACACAGGCATTTAAAAGGCCTGCTAGATAATCTATACACCAGCGCAAGGTGTATATATCGTGCTTTGAAATAATTTAATGCTTTAGAATTCCCAACTTAGCAACTAAGGCAGCCAAGCGGAACTGCGTTGACGATAGGTCTGTGAAATAGAGTAAGCAGGCGGAATATACGGTGTCAAAACAATTCCCTCTGTGGAAAATAAGTTGGGACAACTTCTGTATCTACAACTTACATCTACTGACACGATAGGAAATCTGGATAAGGACTATTCAATCCGACATACGGATTATACCGCCAAACATGCCAGAATCCAGATCCGAGCGCCCCAGGACAAGCCAGAAGGGGCGTCATAACAAAATATACCGCACCCCGGCCACCCCGCCCCCGGAGGATCTGTTAGAGAAGGAGAAAGGTTTTATTCTGGACTGTAACGCTACCAGCAGTATTTCAACAGATTATTCTAAGACAAATCCCAAACTGGGACCTGTCATTCCACCCTACAACTCTCAAAAGGACCCACACGTCGAACCTTACTTTCAGTTCCAGGGAGTTCAGAAGACGCTCGCTCTCACCAAACAGGTACATATATGTTCCTTTGGGTCCGTATGGTTTGCTTTTGGTCAGCGAAATAAATTTCTTTTAAATGAAAAAGATCTGGAAAAATCAAGTATCATTTCTCTACTTCTTAACTGGATTGTTTGATATCTAATATTTTTGCTTAACATATCTGTAATTAAATCTTCCGTTATGTCCTGTATTTATGTCTGGTCTTCGTAAGGCAAAATTGAAACTCATCCAGATGTCAAAACTTATCAAGTACTTTAGGCATGTTAAGATTTTCTTCTACAAGTGTGCTACTCATGTAAAGAAAAGAAAATTATGAAATGTCTCATGTTTACAAATCTCACTTCAAAAATAACATTTTGTTATTTTTTCCTTTCGGCAATTTGCAATTTTTCACACGTCTGCATAAATATTGGATTCTTAAAAAAGCAGAATACCTTGCCATGTAATATTTATCATTATACGTGAAAACATATCTTGAAAGAAAAAGAGATGGAATTATATTCAAATGTCAAATCTATATCGCATTTTATAGAATGCTCGTTAGGATGGAGACATAACTAGTGTCTAGAGATATCCATGTTATCGTTATATAGAGTTTCATGGTGCTACAAGGAGTGTTAATTGTGTGTATATCATTTATATACTGTATACGGTGTCATGGTTTAAAATGTAGACAATCAATACCTACCTAGAGCTTCGTGTTGCCGAGTAGGGGTGTTTCGCCATGATTTATTCACGAAGTTAGCTACACATCCGTTACACATCAAATATGACGCTATTGTCATGAAACCTAATAATGATCTGACTAGGTGTTTTGTAGAACATCAAATGATACACTAACAAGCCGTCCTAACGATCTCCATAATAGTGCGATTCAGGTGAATGACACTAAATATTCATTTTATTTTACGTGAGTGTTTATACCAGCATTGTTAGCTTTTAACATTTTGAACAATTTTTACCTGAGTTAAATTAATGTCATTCTAGATACAATACGGAAATCACTTTGACCAATCAATATGATATTAAAAAATATACAGCAATACTTGTCTTAAAGTTGAAATAACACTATAAAAAAAACCCCGCTAGATTAGAAAAAAAATCGGCTTGATAACGTGCACCCATTTCAATATCACAAATTTCACTGTTTGACAAGGAAATTAACATTAACACAACACCAGTTTTGGTTTGGCCTTGCATTCTTGATATTTATAGACTAATCATGAACTCTCCTTTAAACATTCGTTAAGATCTGGTCAGATCATGTGTACTCAACTGACACACAATACACGCTAGAAGTGAATTGTTATCAGGGAGTTTCGATTTCACGCATTTTGAATATAACCTGTCAGATTTCAATGCGAGTGCTAATGTCAATGTTTGTCGTTTCGTACTCTGACAGGTACGTTAGACTTGAGGACAATAGTTTTAGACCACACTTATCTCTAGGTCCCAGTTACTTGATAATAAAAAGAACGACTCCTTTAAATCAATATCTACCATTTCCCCATTACCTCGGTAACTTAAACAATTATTCAACAATTACTTAATACATAACACACGTGTATATACTTTAACACATGGCAAATACATATCTCGGTCTACATTTTGGGACGTATATTTCACTACCAGAAAAATAACACACTGTTTTTAGTCATGATAATGAAAACGACAAGATGAAAGATAGCTGTTCTGATGACTGTATAATATAGGAATGTTTGATGAATAGACATATAACAAGATGATAGCACATCTCTTGACTAAATATGATATGACGATATGGCCGGAGCGAACATATCCAATGTACATATACTTTTAGTAAAATTTTCTGCTTTAATTTTTGTTTTGCTATAACAAGTTATCAGAAAATATTTGATAAACACGTGATAAGCTTTCTTAAATGGATGTTTTTTCTTTATTGCTTCACAAGGATTCAAGCTTGTAGACTCTCGTTATTTCGGAAGCTAAATGTACTGGCAGTAATGATAAAGTCAACATGCGTATTAAGTATATAATACTTGAAGTAATGCTAATAGTCTATAAGAATGGGCTTGCCTGTGTAGTATAACAAATTATTATCATGCCACTGTTAAGGTTGTACAAAAAGCACTGGGACCTCATAATCAAGTGTAACTGATCATAGGGGTCTGATAATATAGTGTAACTGATCATAGGGGCCTGATAATATAGTGTAACTGATCACAGGGGCCTGATAATATAGTGTAACTGATCATAGGGGCCTGATAATATAGTGTAACTGATCACAGGGGCCTGATAATATAGTGTAACTGATCATAGGGGCCTGATAATATAGTGTTGCTGATCATAGGGGCCTGATAATATAGTGTTACTGATCATAGGGGCCTGATAATATAGTGTTAGCGATCACAGGGGCCTGATAATATAGTGTAACTGATCACAGGCCCCTGATAATATAGTGTTACTGATCATAGGGGCCTGATAATATAGTGTTAGCGATCACAGGGGCCTGATAATCAAGTGCTAATGATCTTAGGGGCCTGATGATCTGATGTTATTGATCACAAGGGCCTGATAATCAGATGTTATTAATCACAGGGACCTCAAAATCATGTGTTACTGATCACAGGGGCCTGATAATCAAGTGCTACTGATCACAGGGGCCTGATAATATAGTGAAACTGATCACAGGGGCCTGATAATATAGTGTTAGCGATCACAGGGGCCTGATAATATAGTGTTAGCGATCACAGGGGCCTGATAATCAAGGGCTACTGAACATAGGGGCCTGATAATATAGTGTTACTGATCACAGAGGCCTGATAATATAATGTAAGTGATCACAGGGACATGATAATATAGTGTAAATGTTCATAGGGGCCTGATAATATAGAGTTAGCGATCACAGGGGCTTGATAATCAAGGACTACTGAACATAGGGGCCTGATGATCTGAAGTTATTTATCACAGGGACCTCCTAATCATGTCTTACTGATCACAGGGGCCTGATCATATAATGTTACTGATCACAGGGGCCTGATAAATGATAATGTTACTGATCACAGGGACCTGATAATCTGATGTTATTGATGACAGGTGCCTGATGATATAGTGTCACTGATCACAGGGGTCTGATAACATAGTGTTCCTGATCATAGGGGCCTGATAATATAGTGATGCTGATCATAGGGGCCTGATAATATAGTGTTGCTGATCACAGGGGCCTGACCATATAATGTTACTGATCACATGGACCTAATGATCTAATGTTATTGGTTATAGGGGCCTGATAATATAGTGTTAGTGATCACAGGGGCCTGTTGATATAATGTTACTTATCACAGGGACCTGATAATCTGATGTTATTGATGACAGGGGCCTGATAATATAGTGTCACTGATCACAGGGGCCTGATAATATAGAGTCACTTATCACAGGGGCCTGATAATATAGTGTTGCTGATCATAGGGGCCTAATGATATAGTGTTGCTGATCACAGGGGCCTGATCATATAATGTTACTGATCACATGGACCTAATGATCTAATGTTATTGGTTATAGGGGCCTGATAATATAGTGTAAGTGATCACAGGGGCCTGTTGATATAATGTTACTTATCACAGGGACCTGATAATCTGATGTTATTGATGACAGGGGCCTGATAATATAGAGTCACTTATCACAGGGGCCTGATAATATAGAGTCACTTATCACAGGGGCCTGATAATATAGTGTTGCTGATCATAGGGGCCTAATGATATAGTGTTGCTGATCACAGGGGCCTGATCATATAATGTTACTGATCACATGGACCTAATGATCTAATGTTATTGGTTATAGGGGCCTGATAATATAGTGTAAGTGATCACAGGGGCCTGTTGATATAATGTTACTTATCACAGGGACCTGATAATCTGATGTTATTGATGACAGGGGCCTGATAATATAGAGTCACTTATCACAGGGGCCTGATAATATAGTGTTGTTGATCATAGGGGCCTAATGATATAGTGTTGCTGATCACAGGGGCCTGATCATATAATGTTACTGATCACAGGGGCCTGATCATATAGTTTTACTGATCATAGGGGCCTAATGATATAGTGTTACTGATCATAGAGGCCTGATAATCAAGTGTAACTGATCATAGAGGCGTGAATATCAACACGAGTTTGATATTGCTTTAGTGTCAAAAAGATTAAATAATATCAAGATTTCTGTTTCTATGGTTTATGAGGAACCTGAAATTTTATCAAAGTTTTCATTCCTTATAATTATTATTTTCCATGCAATATTTGTATGGTCTTTTTCTCTAAATGTCGATCTTTTATCTAACTGTCTTATTCTTTTAAAAATATTCGCTTCATACTGTAACAGTTTATAAGGCTCATGTGTATTTGCCGATTGTTGAAATCAAATAATCAAACCTTCATAACCTTTCCCGATATGTTTAGACAGAAGTGTTATAACAATGTTGAACAGAATTCTCAAATCCCTGTGCTTCCAATTATAGATTATAGAAAAACAGACGACACCAATAAAATCATTAACGAAATGTTATTAGTTGAAAATTTTATCTGATTTTCACCACAGCAGTTTATATCATGCAACATTTAAAAGAAATGTTTTTTTAAAAAACTTTTAAAAACACACTTATGTAAATTATCGCCTTATGGATTAATAAGCTAGCAGTGAATAGTTAGCTGGAGGGATGGGAAAAAAGAAGGGGATGAAAGCAGAAAATTAGAAAAAAAAAATGAAAATTGAACAAATAGTTGGAGCGAGAAACATGTTAAATCAAGAATTTCAACTTAGCAATGTATTAGATTTACTCGCCTTTATCTTTATTGTACGGTCTCGGGTTGAAATAGAATAAAGAGCTGAATTGTTTATGAGCGAGATTGATTAGAACTTTTGTGTTGTTTATTTAAACATAGCGGAGGATTATTTGTGAATCATTGATCTGGCGTTGAGTTGATTTTGTATCAAATAGAAAAGAATTAATTTTCTAACGTAAGATTCAATTTGGGAAAATTCCTTTGAGTTTTTAAAAATTCCGATAATTTGGCAAAAACCTAAACACATCTGTATCATTTTCTTATATTGCGTCAAATTAATGTAGGAAAAGTTTCAACTTCCTATTTTAGGAAGGTGACACATTTAGAAAGTCCTTCTTCGGGTAACACAACCAAATAATCTGAAGTTATACACTCAAGAGTCTAGATTTGTAATATATAATTTGCTTGAACGGTTAGCTATCGTGTTTGTGGAAATGATTGGTTTTGAAGTAAGATGGTTGAAAAACCCGTCAAATTGTTGGCCAGAACAATCTAGTTTTATCTAAAATATGTGTAAAATGAAGAAAAAGAAATGAATGACAATTGTGATATAAAATTAACTTGTAGCCTTGATTTTTCAATGATCAATGATCCGGAAAGAGTTCTTCAGGGGAGAAACAGGAAGTCAAGTATTGACTCTCGATAAAAGCATAGCCCTTGTTTATATGATTATATAACTTCATATTCCGATATGAAGGTGGATATTTGTGCCTTTTTTGTATATAGTTTTGTTATTTAACTGCAATCAGCGTTCAACAAACTTCGCTGCGACCTGCCGTATCATATGCATTTTTACTCTATTGATTATGAAATGTTGATTTTCGACTCGCTTAGTGATACCAGATAATTTCCATAAATATATAATAGTAGGTTGCATTGGTAGCAAGGGTAAAACGTTTGAGTTTAATTATTTGACTGGTAAATACTCCAGATTTTGATACTGGTAGCCAAAAAAGTTGTAACTAATCAACCAAATAATTATTTAACTGTTATAATGCCGCCATGCTATACACTTTATTCAATGGGACCAAGCTCGACGATTGCGACATGGTTTCGCTTAATCCATTTCCTTTATCCACACTTCGAATGATATCACGTCTTATTTTGCAGGGAAGTTAAACAAGTTAATAGGGTTTATATATGAATTTTTAAAGGATACTGCATTCTACTCCCTATGTACATACAAGCTTTGGTTACATATCATTACTAACATTCAACATCCATTCAAATACACAAATTAATGGTTATTTCAAATGAAATTGTGTCTGTTTTACTATCAAAGTATTTATTGAACATACTGCCTGATACAGTCTATTAATTCACTTTCCGGATTGTGTGTGTAATTTGCATTCATGTCAATTACCTCAGAATTATAATCGATTACAAAATTAATTTCAAACAAAAACGCGAAATACAATGTTGATTTCAGAAGTAATATTGACAATGACAAGTTACCTGTATACTTGTATTTGAAGATAATGAATTATATGTATTCAGGCCAAGTGAAGGTAATATTGTATTCCATGATCCAGAAAAAAACAGCGTTATAAGCACAGGTATTTCAGTTTTCCATTGCGAAAACAAGACATAACTGATCATTTGAAACACAGCATGACCAGGATAGTTACAAAAGCATGAACGTAAAATAAACACAGATGTTTTTCTTTATTGAAAGCCGTATACAAACAAACATTTCTCTATCTGTGAATCGTTGAATATGATATGTACACCAAACAATTGATTAGGTTAGAAGGTAAATGTGTTGATTGGTAACGAGCCTTCGTACAGCTGTGATCTACAGGTACAATTTGTGACCAGCGCTGGCAATAGAGGAAATCCATGGAGCTGAGGACACTAGGCCACCTTGAGCAATTTTCAGTTAAAACAAGAATTAGGTCCGTCATCTATGTAAAGATAATGAAAAAAAAACAATTTTTTTTATATCTGCGCCACCTCCCCCTCCACTCAAGGTTTATCCTACTAACCAATGTTCTATTAGAGGAATATCTATGTACACGTGTACAATAAAATTGATATGCATAAAAAGATGAGGGTCCATACAAATTCTTATTTTCCAAACGTTTATCAAAACGCGTTAAAACTATATGAGTCCATAGAATCAAAGCATGTCGTGGATTCTGTTAGTTTGACAGACATGGTTACATAGGAATTGAATCAATACAACGACCGATTATCACACAAACCGTTCCCTTTATTGGATTTGGGGCTTTCTACTGGTTTTGTTACACAACTGTAAACATACATTATTGACGTATTGTCGTATCTCAAGGTCTTTAAACAGAGAGATTCCCAGGAAGGCCGAGTATTGCCCTTAGATATATCACACACGCTGTCTATAAAAGCGTCAATCGATGACCCGATCCATTCTTCATTTTCTTTCCATCAATTATTTCAAAACACGAGTAAGACCACGCAACCGATATGAAATATATGTTAGGGAGTATTTCACGGAATCATTTGTCGGTGCTGCAGATTGTCTGTCCTCTATAATTGGAAGTCCCTGATTTGATGATACCGCCATTTTTGCTATATGCTGACCTCAATGTGTAATGTGGAGTATATTTGTTAAACAAGATAGTTGATATAGCCTACAATATCTCAACGCTTTAAATATTTACAGTTTAGGCTTCTTTGGAAGAAAAGACTTACCTCCCTTGTTTTCCTCTTGAATGACATCTTTAATTTTCTCGTTGTGAGTTACCTGGAATTGTTTTATTTTTCAGGACCCCCCTGGTTGTTCGATAGAAGGACCCGTAGCCGATGACTTCAATGACAAAGGAACAGGCTTTCAGTATTTATCGTTAAGAAATCAGTTTGGTGGAGGTAGGTCGATTCTGTCTTTTTCTGTACATCTTATTATCAACATCTATTGTCATACCCTAGAATGGTTATTGAAAAAATAATATCAGACTCAGGTATGATACGATTTACACTATTTGTATGACGTCACAAATAACACGTGAAGAAAGTCATTGACACGTTAGGAAGGTCAACCAACAGCATGTCATTCAGATTAGGTATGCCTTGCCGATTGACACATACGGGCTTCACTGCAGGAATAAAAACGTGTCTAACCACTGTGATATAAATTCAAACTGGTTAAAAGATATCTTGATCTTTGGTCCCTTATTGTTAATTTTACACCGTTATTTCGGACACAGAAGCTATGATCAAGATGTTTTCGATCAGATTTATATAAATTCGTTGCCGTTCTCCATAATCACATGACGCATTTTTAACACCATTCACGTATCTATCTCAAACTTGCGAGTCTTTTCCTTTTCTATGTTTTGTAGGTCATTCACGAGAACTGGTGGACGGACATTCGCAGTTCATGAAAGGAATTGAACCAGTAAATGGATACAATGGACCGTACGGATACCGTCGGAATACCCCTTGGCTCCGGGCCGAACCTTCACCATTCGGAACAGCAAGTCGGTCGGCTACTCATTGATACAACTACCTTAGACTTTTTTCGTCCAATGAAATTATATATTGATTTCCTGCTCAAACACTGGCCAATGGAATTTCACGTTACATTGATAGAACAGACTGTGATAACTAAGTTATTGTTTTCATTTGACAGACTCCGATGATTTGATATGATTATGTTAATTTGTCCGAGTGATAGATTTTTATTTGTATAAGTGTAGATGGAATGTTGACAGTTATAATTTTTGCGTCTTTCTTTAATATTACATGCCACGCCCCTTTTCTCCAAATACATAACTGGCTGCATGCCAATGGTGTATTAATATTCAATATGTTGTATTGAGCAATGTCCTTCTGTACATTGATGAAAGTTTTAATCACACGGATTTCTTTTAAGAGAAGATCATTTTAGCCAAGTACTTTCGGCTAAAAGTTTTAATCGTTAAGCGGAATAATATTTATTGTTTTCAAAATCTCATTTCACGTCAGATGAAGTAAAAAAGACATTTTTTGTTTTACCTTGGAGGTAAAACGAATCTATCGGATTAAAGTAATTGTTCAACTTTTTAAATCAATGAGATGTTGGACAATAGAAAATACCACTCTAGCGCATGAGGGCTGCATGATGCTCTTTGTGTTTGTCCAATCTAAGCTGTAAATAGATATTGAATACTACCGACAATAACCAAATGTCTCAAATATCATATATTCAGTATTTATATCTATTCTAAAAGAAAAGAATGTGGACGAAGTGCTTTATTTCATAATATATGAGCATGTATTAATGGTAATATAGTTACGTACGTTAACGTAAACTGAAATGTTTATGTAAAAAAATAACAAAAACAATAAAACAAAAAACAAAACAAAAAATCGTCAAATATCTTGTGTACGTTCATCTAACGTTTGAACCCCAGTATTATATTGTACTTACCAATGTAAGTCGTATGTAAATCTTTAGTCATTATTTCACTTAATATGTAGTCACGTTTCAACCACAGCTTTCCTCGGATGTAAAATTTCGTTCTGGTAAAGCCAAGTGCTTATTAAGATCTTACGCTGATATTCGGTTTAGTGAGACATAGACATGCCTCCTTTATGTTCGGTATAGTGAATTCACAAACTGGTTCCAATGGGTGTACTCGAGGTGTGTCAAATTAGATAAAAGGTATGTTTCATGCATGTATCTATTCCAATCAAGCATTATATACATTTTCATATTTATGTGATGTTGCATGTAACTTCTTCATATTTTCCCAGACATTAAAACGTCAAATGATAACTCAATTTGTAATTGTGTTTAGCTGACTCGGCCCGAATTTCATCTATTTCTAGGATGAAGTCCAACGAAGTTTAAGAAAAGAAATGAAGTTGACTTATGTTCTAGGTCACAGGGACCAAATCAGTTTAAAAATGTGAACGACTTCTCATAAACTAAAATGCCTAGATTCATGATATTTGGCTGGTATGTTCATATTATGAAGCCCAACGACGTTTGCGAAAAGAAATGACCTTGACACCTTATTCCAGGTCAGAGGGGTAGAATGTGCTAAAACATTAAAACAACTGCATCTGACTAACCAAAATACACAAGGGCATCGTGTTCGGATGATAGGTTTTTAAGATGAATGCAGAATAGATTTGCGAAAAGAAATGACCTTGACTTATATCTAAGGTCACAGGGATCGTATTTTGTTAAAACACTTAAATTGAATTAAAATGCCAAGAGGCATGGTATTTGGCTTGTCTATTCTTATGACGTTAGCGAATAGAAATGACCTGGATCTATGTTCAAGGTCGCATAGACAATTGACTTTTTGCATGAACTAAAAGGCTCAAGGTATGATATTTGGTTGGTATTCCTAGGATGAAGCCCAACAAAGTCTGGGAAAGGAAATGACCTTGTCCGATGTTTAAGGTCAAAGGGGTTAAATTTTTCAAAACATTAATACGACTTCGTCTGAAAAACCAATAAAATAGAAACATGGTGTTTGTATGGTCCGTTCCAAAAATGAAATCCGACACTATTTGCGATAAAAATGTCACAGAGGTGGATTTGGTTAAAACCGTCAAATGACTTTTTCTAACCAATGGATGCAAAAGCATGGTATTTGGCTGATAGGTTTCTGTGATGGAACTAGACAAAGTTCGTGGAAAGAAATAACATTGACCCTTGTTCAAGGTCACATTGGTCAAAATTGAAAAAAAAAACCCATTAAAACCATTTCTGATTGACTAAAAAGTGCTGAAGCATGGTATTTGGGTGATAGACTTCTAGGATGAAGTTCGAAAAGATTTGAGAAAAGAAATGTCATGACCTGACTCGATGCCAAGGGGCTCGAATTTGTTTAATTATTTAAATAACTTCCTTTGACGAACTAAACGGCCAATAGGCACGGTAATTGTTAATAGGATGATGCCTGAAATTTGCGAAATGACCCAGTCCCAATTCCAAGGTCACAGGGATTCTTTTTATATTTATTTACTTATTTTTTTGAAACATGTAATAGATTCTTCTGGGTAACCAAAATTCTGCATAGCATGGTGGAAAAGTGCTTCTATGTCAGGTCATAACCTCACTGTTTAGAGGTGAGTAGAATAAGCTTTATCTTATTGGAATTGGTTAAAATAGACCATCAAGAACAGTAAGCGTAAAACGTTTTACCCAGAGACAGATAACAGATGTACGGAAACTCGAACTGCGAACCTCAGATCTAATAATTGGAATTTAGATAAGATCAACGCTGTACGCCTCAGCTATTCAAGCCCATTCATACTTTCAATATCCGACACTCTTAAAAATTTATAAGTAATGGTTTGCGAATGTACGCAATAGTTCTGTAATGATGTACGCAATATTGCCATTATATATTTGACAGTGAAATTATTATGACAATACACAGTCCTAAAACTTAAAAAAATCAATTTGATCAATACAGTTTTAACAAAATACTTGCTTTCCGAAGGGAAACATTTAAGACATTCTTACATTATGTAAATGTCACCGGGGTGTGGTTGGGTATATATATATATAGATACAAATCACTCTGATTTCAAATTTGTTCGATGATTTATTTCTGAAGGGAAAAAGAACCTGAAAAGACAAGACAAACATTTAGACTCCAAGCCTCTTTCGAAACAAACACTCACCAATCACGAACGCGCCGGATACAATCAACTTCCACAGCATTGTCAACTTACCAGGCTTCACTGGCCCCGCACCATACGAAGTGATACGTATAGTATATGTGTATGATATATGATCTTGCTGGACCGCTCGCGCTGACGTCCAGCAGTAGAGTGCCAGGACAGAGAGAGACAGATAGAAAGAAAACCAAAGGAAGTGACGTAAACAGGTGTGGAGAACGCAATTAGCATGCAGTACAAATGCAGGTGTTAGAAGTGCTGAGTTGCGTTCACGTTGAAGTCCATGTCACTTCGGACTAGTTCGGCCACATACCACACATTCCACTGGACAATACATGAGACGTAAACAACATGTCACGTGTACATATACTTAGTAACGTCACGTGCACATTCACAAAACAGTAACAAGGACATTTACAATATGATACCTGAGTATGCATCTATGCTACATTGTTATTAAAATACCACATGTGGACACATGGGTTACATAAAAATCCATATATAATGATACCCAATGAGACTGAACAGATTCATTATATGTGTATCATTACTTGAGATATACATTCTGATCTCCTGTAGTTACCTCCCTTCGTATTATTCTATCAGGGTACAGGGTAGATGATAGTAGGTAGAGGGAAGGGGGTACCGGATACAGGGTAGAGGCTGGAGGGTAGAAGAAAGGGGGTATAGGGTACCGGATACAGGGCAGAGGATGGAGGGTAGAGGTAAGGGGGTACCGGATACAGGGTAGAGGATGGAGGGTAGAAGAAAGGGGGTATAGGGTAACGGATACAGGGCATAGGATGGAAAGTCGAGGGAAGAGGGTACAGGAAACAAGGATTAAGGTAGATGATGGAGGGTAGAGGGAAGGGGGTACAGGTTACCGGATACAGGGCAGAGGATGGAGCTTAGAGGGAAGGGGGTACCGGATACAGGGTAGAGGATGTAGGGTCGAGGGAAGGGGGTACAGGGTACCGGATACAAAGTAGTATATGGAAGGTAGAGGGAACGGGGTAGACGATAGCTGATACACGGTAGAGGATGGAGGGTAGAGAGAAGAGGATACAAGGAACAAGATACAGGGTAGAAGATGAAGGGTAGAAGGAATGGGGTAAAGGGTACAGGATACAGGGCAGGGTATGGAGGTTAGAGCGAAAGGGATACAGGGTACCGGATTCATTTTAGAGGATGGAGATTATAGAGAAGTGGGTACAGGTATAGGATATAGGGTAGAGGATGGCGGGTAGAATGAAGAGGGTACAGTTTACAAGATACAGGATAGTGGTTGGAGGTAGAGAGATGGGGGTACTGGGAACAAGATACATAGTCGAGGATGGAAGGTAGATGGAAGAGGATACCGGGTACTGGATACAGGGTAGAGGATGGAGGGTAGAGGGAAGGGGGTACAGGTCACCGGATACAGGGCAGAGGATGGAGGATAGAGGGAAGAGGATACAAGGAACAAGATACAGGGTAGAAGATGAGGGGTAGAAGGAAGGGGTAAAGGGTACAGGATACAGGGCAGGGTATGGGGGTTAGAGGGAAAGGGATACAGGATACCGGATGCAGATGAGAGGATGGAGATTATAGAGAAGTGGGTACAGGGTATAGGATACAGGGTAGAGGATGGAGGGTAGAGGGAAGGGGGTACAGGTCACCGGATACAGGGCAGAGGGTGGAGGATAGAGGGAAGAGGATACAAGGAACAAGATACAGGGTAGAAGATGAGGGGTAGAAGGAAGGGGTAAAGGGTACAGGATACAGGGCAGGGTATAGGGGTTAGAGCGAAAGGGATACAGGATACCGGATGCAGATGAGAGGATGGAGATTATAGAGAAGTGGGTACAGGGAACCGGATACAGGACAGATGTTGGAGGGTTGAGGAAGGGGGTACAGGATTCAGGTTAAAGGATGGAGTGTAGAGGAAAGGGGGTAAAGGGTACCGTATACAGGGTAGAGGATGGAGGGTAGAAAGAAAGGGGTTACTGGGTACAGGGTAGAGGATGGAGGGTAGAGGGAAGGTGGTAGATGGTACACGTTAGAGGATGGAGGGTAGAGGAAACGGGGTACAGGATACAAGAGGATGGAAGGTAGAGGTAAGGTGGTAGAGGGTACACGGTAGAGGATGAAGGGTAGAGGGCAGGGGTAGAGGATGAAGGATACAGCGTTGATGATGGAGGGTACATGGAAGGGGGTACAGTGTGCCTGATGCAGGGTAGAGGATGGAGGGTAGAGGTTGAATAGTAGAGTGAAGGGGGTACAGAGTACTGGATACAGGGTAGAGGATGGTGGATAGAGCGAAGGGGGTACAGGATACAGGATAGAAGGCAGAGGATGGAGGGTAGAGGGAAGGGGGCAAAGGAAACAGTTTAAATGATGGAGGGTAGAAAGAAGAGGGTACCGGATACAGGATACAGTGCAGATGATGGACGTTAGAAGGAGGGATGTACAGAGTACCGGATATAGGGTAGAGGATGAAGAGGAGAGGGAATGGGGTACTTAAAACAGGGAAGATGTAGGGAAGAGGAAAGAAGGTAAACGCTACCGGATACATGGTAGAGGATGGAGGGTAGAGGGAAAGGGATACAGGGTACCGAATACATGGTAGAGGATGAACATACGGCGTAGATGATGGATGGTAGAGGTTTGAGGTTAGACGGAGGGGGTTCAGGGTACCGGATACAGGACAGAAGTTGGAGGGTAGAGAGAAGGTAGAATAGTATACCTGAAACAGGGTGGAGAAAAGAGGATGGAGAGTACGTGGTACAGAGTAAAGGATACAGGGTAGAGGATGGTGAGTAGAGGAAGGGAGTACAGGATTCAGCGTAGAGGATGAAGTGTAGAGGAAAGGGGGTATAGGGTACCGGGTACAGGGTAGAGGATGGAGGATAGAAGGAAAGGGGTAACTGGGTACCTGATACATGGCAGAAGATGGAGGGTAGAGAGAAGAGATTATAGGATACAGATTAGAGGATGGAGGTTAAAGGGAAGGGTGTACAGAATACAGGGTTGAGAATGGAGGGTAGAGAGAAGGGGGTAGAGGGTACAGGATACAGGGTACAGGATACAGGGCAGAGGATTAATAGTAGAGCGAAGGGCGTACAGTATACTTGATACAGGGTAGATGAAGGAGGATGGAGAGTAGGTGATACAGAGTAAAGGATACAGGGTAGAGGATGGTGGGTAGAGGGAAGGGTGTACAAGGTACCGGATATAGGGTAGAGGATGGAGGGTAGAGGGAAGCGGGTACAGGATACAGGGTAGTGGATGGAGGGTAGAGGAAAGGGTGTTCAGGATACAGGGTAGAGGATGGAGGGTAGAGAGAAGGGAATAGAGGGTAGAGGATACAGGATACCGGATACAGGGCAGAGGATTGAGAGTAGAGCCAAGGGCATACATGATACAGGATACAGGGCAGAGGATGGAGGATGGAGAGTAGGTTGTACAGGTTACCGGATACAGGGCAGAGGATGGAAGGTAGAGGGAAGGGGTACCGGATACAGGGTAGAGGATGTAGGGTTGAGGGAAATGAGTACAGGGAACCGGATACAAGGTAGTATACGGAAGCTAGTGGAAACGGGGTAGACGATAGCCGATACACGGTAGAGGATGGAGGGTAGAGAGAAGAGGGTTCAAGGAACAAGATACAGGGTAGAAGATGAAGGGTAGAAGGAAGGTGGAACCGGATACAGGATAGACGATCGAGAGGGAACGGGATAGAGGATAGCGGATACACGGTTGAGGATGGAAGGTAGAGGTAATAAGACACAGGGTACAAGATATGGCGTAGATGATGGATCGTAGAGGGAAGGGGTGCAGGGTACCGAATACAGGACAGATGTTGGAGGGTAGAGGTAGAGGGTACAGGATTCAGGGTAGAAGATGAAGGGTACATGGAAGAGGGTACCGTGTACCGATACAGGGTAGAATATACAGGACAGAGGATAAAGGGTAGAGAGAAGGGGGACAGGATACAGGGTAGAGAATAAATGGTAGAGGGAAGGGGTATAGGGTACAGAATAAAGAGGAGAGGATGGAGGGTAGATGGAAGGGGGTACAGGATACAGGGTAGATGATTGAGGGAAGAGGGAAGGGTGTACAGGGCACCGGCTTTAGGGTAGAGGATGGAGGGTAGAGGGAAGGGGGTACAGGATACAGGGTAGAGGATTGAGGGAAGAAGAAAGGATGTACAAGGTACCGGATATAGGGTAGAGGATGGAGGGTAGAGGGAAGCGGGTACAGGATACAGGGTAGTGGATGGAGGGAAGAGGAATGGGTGTTCAGGATACAGGGTTGAGAATGGAGGGTAGAGAGAAGGGGTAGAGGGTACAGGATACAGGGTACAGGATACAGGGCAGAGGATTAATGGTAGAGCGAAGGGCGTACATTATACTTGATACAGGGTAGATGAAGGAGGATGGAAAGTAGGTGATACAGAGTAAAGGATACAGGGTAGAGAATGGTGGGTAGAGGGAAGGGGGTACAGGATACAGGGTAGAGGATTGAGGGAAGAGGGAAGGGTGTACAAAGTACCGGATATAGGGTAGAGGATGGAGGGTAGAGGGAAGCGGGTACAGGATAAGGGTAGTGGATGGAGGGTAGAGGAAAGGGTGTTCAGGATACAGGGTAGAAGATGGAGGGTAGAGAGAAGGAGAATAGAGGGTAGAGGATACAGGATACCGGATACAGGGCAGAGGATGGAGAGTAGAGCGAAGGGCATACATGATACAGGATATAGGGCAGAGGATGGAGGATGGAGAGTAGGGGGTGCAGAGTACAGGATACAGGGCAGAGGATGGAAGGTAGGGGGAAGGGGTTACCGGATACAGGGTAGAGGATGGAGGGTCGAGGGAAATGAGTACAGGGTACCGGATACAAGGTAGTATATGGAAGGTAGTGGAAACGGGGTAGACGATAGCCGATACACGGTAGAGGATGGAGGGTAAAGAGAAGAGGGTTCAAGGAACAAGATACAGGGTAGAAGATGAAGGGTAGAAGGAAGGTGGTACCGGATACAGGATAGACGATCGAGGAGAGAGGGAACGGGGTAGAGGATAGCGGATACACGGTTGAGGATGGAAGGTAGAGGTAATAGGACACAGGGTACAAGATATGGCGTAGATGATGGATCGTAGAGGGAAGGGGTGCAGGGTACCGAATACAGGACAGATGTTGGAGGGTAGAGGTAGAGGATACAGGATTCAGCGTATAAGATGTAGGGTACATGGAAGAGGGTACCGTGTACCGATACAGGGTAGAGGATACAGGGCAGAGGATAGAGGGTAGAGAGAAGGGAGGACAGGATACAGGGTAGAGAATAAATGGTAGAGGGAAGGGGTATAGGGTACAGAATAAAGAGGAGAGGATGGAGGGTAGATGGAAGGGGGTACAGGATACAGGGTAGATGATTGAGGGAAGAGGGAAGGGTGTACAGGGCACCGGCTTTAGGGTAGAGGATGGAGGGTAGATGGAAGGGGGTACAGGATACAGGGTAGATGATTGAGGGAAGAGGGAAGGGTGTACAGGGCACCGGCTTTAGGGTAGAGGATGGAGGGTAGAGGGAAGCGGGTACAGGATACAGGGTAGTGGATGGAGGGAAGAGGAATGGGTGTTCAGGATACAGGGTTGAGAATGGAGGGTAGAGAGAAGGGGTAGAGGGTACAGGATACAGGGTACAGGATACAGGGCAGAGGATTAATGGTAGAGCGAAGGGCGTACAGTATACTTGATACAGGGTAGATGAAGGAGGATGGAAAGTAGGTGATACAGAGTAAAGGATACAGGGTAGAGAATGGTGGGTAGAGGGAAGGGGGTACAGGATACAGGGTAGAGGATTGAGGGAAGAGGGAAGGGTGTACAAGGTACCGGATATAGGGTAGAGGATGGAGGGTAGAGGGAAGCGGGTACAGGATGAGGGTAGTGGATGGAGGGTAGAGGAAAGGGTGTTCAGGATACAGGGTAGAAGATGGAGGGTAGAGAGAAGGAGAATAGAGGGTAGAGGATACAGGATACCGGATACAGGGCAGAGGATGGAGAGTAGAGCGAAGGGCATACATGATACAGGATATAGGGCAGAGGATGGAGGATGGAGAGTAGGGGGTGCAGAGTACAGGATACAGGGCAGAGGATGGAAGGTAGGGGGAAGGGGTTACCGGATACAGGGTAGAGGATGGAGGGCCGAGGGAAATGAGTACAGGGTACCGGATACAAGGTAGTATATGGAAGGTAGTGGAAACGGGGTAGACGATAGCCGATACACGGTAGAGGATGGAGGGTAGAGAGAAGAGGGTTCAAGGAACAAGATACAGGGTAGAAGATGAAGGGTAGAAGGAAGGTGGTACCGGATACAGGATAGACGATCGAGGAGAGAGGGAACGGGGTAGAGGATAGCGGATACACGGTTGAGGATGGAAGGTAGAGGTAATAGGACACAGGGTACAAGATATGGCGTAGATGATGGATCGTAGAGGGAAGGGGTGCAGGGTACCGAATACAGGACAGATGTTGGAGGGTAGAGGTAGAGGGTACAGGATTCAGCGTAGAAGATGTAGGGTACATGGAAGAGGGTACCGTGTACCGATACAGGGTAGAGGATACAGGGCAGAGGATAGAGGGTAGAGAGAAGGGAGGACAGGATACAAAGTAGAGAATAAATGGTAGAGGGAAGGGGTATAGGGTACAGAATAAAGAGGAGAGGATGGAGGGTAGATGGAAGGGGGTACTGGATACAGGGTAGAGGATGGAGGGTAGAGGGAAGGGGGTACAGGTCACCGGATACAGGGCAGAGGATGGAGGATAGAGGGAAGAGGATACAAGGAACAAGATACAGGGTAGAAGATGAAGGGTAGAAGGAAGATGGTACCAGATACAGGGTAGAGGATGGAAGGTCGAGGGAAGGGGGCACAGTGTATCGGATACAGGATAGACGATAGAGGAGAGAGGGAACGGGATAGAGGATAGCGAATACACGGTTGAGAATTGAAGGTAGAGGTAATATGACACAGGTTACAAGATATGGCGTAGATGATGGATCGTAGAGGGAAGGGGTGCAGGGTACCGAATACAGGACAGATGTTGGAGGGTAGAGGTAGAGGGTACAGGATTCAGGGTAGAGGATTGTGGGTAGAAGGAAGGGGGTACAGGGTACCGGATGCAGATGAGAGCATGGAAATGATAGAGAAGTGGGTACAGGGTATAGGATACAGGACAGAGGTTGGAGGTAGAGAGAAGGGGGTAGTGGGAACAAGGAACAGGGTAGATGAAGGAGGATGGAGAGAAGGTGATACAGAGTAAAGGATACAGGGTAGAGGATGGAGGGTAGAGGGAAGCGGGTACAGGATAAGGGTAGTGGATGGAAGGTTGAGGAAAGGGTGTTCAGGATACAGGGTAGTGGATGGAGGGTAGAGAGAAGGGAATAGAGGGTAGAGGATACAGGATACCGGATACGGGGCAGATGATGGAGAGTAGAATGAAAGGGATACAGGGTACCGGATGCAGATGAGAGGATGGAAATGATAGAGAAGTGGGTACAGGGTATAGGATACAGGACAGAGGTTGGAGGTAGAGAGAAGGAGGTAGTGGGAACAAGATACAGGGTCGAGGATGAAGGGTAGATGGAAGAGGATACAGGTACCGGATACAGGGTAGTGGATGGGGGTTAGAAGGAAGGGGGTACATGATACAGGATACAGAGTTGAGGATAGAAGTTAGAGAAAAGGGAGTACAGGGTACAAGATACAGCGTAGATAATTGAGGTTAGAGGATGGAGGTTAGAGGGAAGGGGGTACAGGGAACCGGATAAATGAGAGCATTGGAGGGTAGAGGAAGGGGGTACAGGATTCAGGGTAAAGGATGGAGTGTAGAGGAAAGAGGGTAAAGGGTACCGGATACAGGGTAGGGGATGGAGGGTAGAAAGAAAGGGTTTACTGGGAACAGGGTACAGGGTAGAGGATGGAGGGTAGAGTGAAGGTGCTAGAGGGTACACGGTAGATGCTGAAGGGTAGAGGGAAGGGGGTACAGGATACAAGATACAGCGGAGATGATGGAGGGTACATGGAAAAGAGTACAGTGTACCGGATACAGGATAGAGGATGGAGGGTAGATGATGGAGGGAAGAGAGAGGGGGTACAGAGTACCGGATACAGGGTATAGGATGGAGGGTAAAACACGGGGTACAGGATGCCGGATACAGGATAGAGGATGGTGGTGAGACCGAAGGGGGTACAGATTGCAGGGAAGAGGATGGATGGTAGAGGGAATTGTGTACAGGGTATATGATAGAAGGCAGAGGATGGAGAGTAGAGGTAAGGGGGCAAAGGAAACAGGTAAAATGATGGAGGGTAGAAAGAAGAGGTTACCGGAAACAGGATACAGTGCAGACGATGGAGGTTAAAAGGAGGGGGTACAAAGTACCGGATATAGGGTAGAGGATGAAGGGGAGAGGGAATGGGGTACAGAATACAGGGTAGATGATGTAGGGATGAGGGAAGAGGATACAGGGTACCGGATACATGGTAGAGGATGAACATACAGCGTAGATGATGGAGTGTAGAGGTTTGAGGTTAGACGGAGGGGGTTCAGGGTACCGGATACAGGACAGAAGTTGGAGGGTAGAGTGAAGGGGGTATAGTATACCTGATACAGGGTAGAGGAAGAAGGATGAAGAGTAGGTGATACAGAGTAAAGGATACAAGGTTGAGGATGGTGAGTAGAGAAAGGAGGTACGGGATTCAGCGTAGAGGACAGGGGGTATAGGGTACCGGATACAGAGCAGAAAGTGGAGGGTAGAAGGAAAGGGGTAACAGGGTATCGGATAAAGGGTACAGGATTGAGGGTAGACGGAAGGGTGTACATGATACATGGTATAAGCTGGAGGTAAGAGAGAAGTGGTTATAGGATACAGGTTAGAGGATGGAGGTTATAGGGAAGAGTGTAAAGGATACAGGGCAGAGGATTGATGGTAGAGGGAAGGGGGTACAGTATACCTGATACAGGGTAGAGGATGGTGGGTAGAGGGAAGGGGGTACAGGGTACAGGATACAGGACATAGGGTACAGAATGGAGGGTAGAGGATGGAGGGTAGAGAGAAGGGGGTACAGGGTATATTGCAGAGGATGGAGGGTAGAGGGAATGGGGTGCAGGATACCGGACAGAGGGTAGAGCGTGGAAGGTACAGGAGTACAGCATACAGGGAAGAAGATGGAAAGTAGAGGAAATGGGGTACAGGGTACAGGATACAGGGTAGAGGATGGAGAGTACAGGGAAGGGGGTTACTGGGTACAGGCTACAGGGTATAGGACACTGGGCAGAGGATGGAGGGATGAGGGAAGGGGGTATAGCATACCGGCTACGGGGTAGAGGATGGAGGGTGGAGAGAAGGGGGTACAGAGTACAGGTTTCAGGGTACAGGATGGAGGGTAGAGGGAAAGGGGTACAGGATACCGGATACAGGGTAGAGAATGGAGGGTAGAGGATGGAGGGAAGAGTGAAGGGGATAGAAGGTACCGGATACAGGGCAGAGGATGGACGGTAGAGGGAAGGTTGTACAGAGTACCGGATACAGGGTAGAGGATGGAGGGTAGATCGAAGGGAGTAAAAGGTACCTGATACAGGTTAGAAGATGGAGGACAGAGAGAAGGGGATACAGGGTACAGGTTAAAGGATTGGCGGTAGAGGGAAGTCGTATAGGGTACCGGATACAGGGCAGACGTTGGAGGGTAGAGGGAAGGGGGTACAGGATACAGGGCAGAGGATAGAGGGTAGAGGGAAGGGGTCACAGGGTACCGGATACAGGGTTGGGGATGGAGGGTTGAGAGAAATGGGTACAGGGAACAAGATACAGGGCAGAGGATAGAGGGTAGAGGGAAGGGGTCACAGGGTACCGGATACAGGGTAGAGTATGGAAGGGAGAATGAAGGGTGTACAAGGTACAGGAAGGGGATACAGGGTAGATGATTGAGGTAAAAAGGAATGGGTTACATTGTAGAAAATGGAGGACAGAGAGAAGGGGATACAGGGTACAGGTTAAAGGATTGGCGCTAGAGGGAAGGGTGTGTAGGGTACCGGACACAGGGCAGATGTTGGAGGGAAGAGGGAAGGGGGTATAAGTTACAGGGCAGAGGATAGAGGGTAGAGGGAAGGGGGTACAGGGTACCGGATACAGGGTTGGGGATGAAGGGTAAAGGAAAGGATGTACAGGGTACCGGATACAGGGTAGAGAATGGAGGGTTGAGAGAAATGGGTACAGGGAACAAGATACAGGGTAGAGGATGAAGGGTAGAGGGAAGGGGGTACAGGGTACAAGATACAGGGCAGACGGAGGGTAGAGGGAAGGGGGTACAGGATACAGGGCAGAGGATAGAGGGTAGAGGGAAGGGGGCACAGGGTACCGGATACAGGGTTGGGGATGGAGGGTTGAGAGAAATGGGTACAGGGAACAAGATACAGGGTAGAGGATGAAGGGTAGAGGGAAGGGGGTACAGGGAACAGGATACAGGGTAGAGTATGGAAGAGAGAATGAAGGGTGTACAAGGTACAGGAAGGGGATACAGGGTAGATGATTGAGGTAAAAGGGAATGGGTTACATTGTAGAAAATGGAGGACAGAGAGAAGGGGATACAGGGTACAGGTTAAAGGAGTGGCGGTAGAGGGAAGGGTGTGTAGGGTACCGGACACAGGGCAGATGTTGGAGGGAAGAGGGAAGGGGGTACAGGATACAGGGCAGAGGATAGAGGGTAGAGGGAAGGGGGTACAGGGTACCGGATACAGGGTTGGGGATGAAGGGTAAAGGAAAGGATGTACAGGGTACCGGATACAGGGTAGAGGATGGAGGGTTGAGAGAAATGGGTACAGGGAACAAGATACAGGGTAGAGGATGAAGGGTAGAGGGAAGGGGGTACAGGGTACAGGATACAGGGTAGAGTATGGAAGGGAAAATGAAGGGTGTACAAGGTACAAGAAGGGGGTACAGGGTAGATGATGGAGGTTAAAGGGAATGGGTTACATGATACCCTAAACAGGGTAGAGGATGGCGGTTAGAGGGAAGGGGATACAAGGTACTGGATACAGGGTAGAGGATCGAGGGTAGAGGGAAGGGGGTACAGGATACATGGTAGAGGATGAGGGGTAGAGGGAAGTGTGTACATGGTAACGGATACAGGATAGAGGATTACGGTTAGAGCTAAAGGGGTACAGGGTACCATATACAGGGTAGATGATCGAGGGAAGATGGTACAGGGTACAGGCTAGAGGATGGAGAATAGAGGGAAGAGAGTAAAGGATACCGGATACAGAGTAGAGGATTTGGGTAGATGGATTATGTACTTCACTTTAGGAAAAAACATCAATGACGTCATCAAAACCAACCCGTCAGTCGAATTACATACTTTGCTATAGCTAAAACATCAATGACGTCATCAAAACCAACCTGTCCATCGAATTACATACGTTGCTATAGCTAAAAACATCAATGACGTCATCAAATCCAACCCGTCATTCGAATTACATACTTTGCTATAGCTAAAAACATCAATGACGTCATCAAAACCAACCGGTCTATCGAATGTCGTTCTTTACTATAGGGAAAAAAACATCAATGACGTCGTCAAAACCAAACCGTCAGTCGAATTACATACTTTACTATAGTTAAATACATTAATGACGTCATCAAAACCAACCCGTCTATCGAATGTCGTTCTTTACTATAGGGAAAAAACATTAATGACGTCGTCAAAACCAAACCGTCAGTCGAATTACATACTTTACTATAGCTAAAAACATCAATGACGTCATCAAAACCAACCCGTCTATCGAATGTCGTTCTTTACTATAGGGAAAAAAACATCAATGACGTCGTCAAAACCAAACCGTCAGTCGAATTACATACTTTACTATAGTTAAATACATTAATGACGTCATCAAAACCAACCCGTCAGTCGAATTACACGCTTTACTGTAGCTAAATACATCAATGACGTCGTCAAAACCAAGCCATTAGTTAAAAAACTCCACCATCACTTCCCCTTCCCTATCCATCCTATTATCATTACACAAATTCATATTCACCATTTCAATTCTTTAATTTTCTGACGACTGCCAGATAGATATCTGACGACTGCCACATAGTTATTTGACGACTGAATACTGCCACATAATTATCTGACGATTGCCACATAATTATATGACTACCGCCACATAAATATCTGAATACTGCCACATAGTTATCTGACTACTGCCACATAATTATCTGACGATTGCCACATAATTATATGACTACTGCTACATAAATATTTGACTACTGCCACATAATTATCTGACGACTGAATACTGCCACATAGTTATCTGACTACTGCCACGTAATTATCTGACGACTGAATACTGCCACATAGTTATCTGACTACTGCCACATAATTATCTGACGATTGCCACATAGTTATCTGATTATTATATGAGCCTTATATGCTTCCTTAAAATTTCCGTTTAATATATATTTGTACAATCTCACTCTGTCGTTCTACTGTCTTTCGCGAGAAATAGGATTCGAGGTCATGTGTGATTGATTTGACCAAAATTAGAGTTATTAAATTGAATATTAAATTTTATCTTTGGTATCGCAACCAATCTCTTACACATATCGGATGTCGCTTTGACCGGTACCACAGATCTGGTACAAGGAAACACTTGCTATTAAAGAGAACACAATTCAGGTTGACCTGATAGTTATCATTTCAATATGTGGTAATGTTCAATTTATTTTCATTCCTTGCATGTATAACTATAACAAAACAAAAAACAAAAAAACAAATCAGTACAAGTTCAAAATATATGTCATCTCCGTCGCATAATTTCGTCAAACGTACTTGTTTGATTTGATTTTGTTGAAAATTGTATTTACACAAAACGTTTCAGAAGTTTATTTTTGAGGCCGTGGGAAGCCGGTTGTGCGAGAGAGACGGCCATATTAGTGTTAATCTGAATGAGGTCAGTAATCAAGGTTAATGGGTTTTTAATAGTTTAGTAACTACAATGGAAATGGCTTTAACCCTCCATCAAACTTACAGTATTACAAGACGATTGGAAACCAAAAAACGCGGCCTGGTTGTTTGGTGTTAGGGTCGGTCACGCATCCGTTTTAGCATCAAGTGTCCGTAAATGCGAACAGCGCATATGCATGAATACATATGTAAAGTTCACGTGTCTGGATGTGTTCGATAAGCTACTTACAATTTGAGTAAATTGAAGTTAACATGTAACTACATCCTGGGCCTCCGGGACTTTTAGAAAGGTCTTAAGTGCACCGTGTCACAGTATTCAAGAATAAGGAAGTGGACATCACCTTCAGGCCAATAGTTCTACCTAATCAGCGGGTTCATAATATCACTGTACTAGTGAGTACGTGCAACAGACTTCCATTTTTCCGCTGCAGGTGAAAAGTACTTGTTAATCCGAGGTGATTCTACACGTAAAAATTCTAATAGCATATGTAAACACTCTGATGGGTAACTTAAAACACCCAATATATATATTCATACTTAGTGTTATATTGGAGTGTGTCTCTACACATTCCATTCCAAAGGATAACAAACTTCTCTTATTTTTGATGGATGGATTCCGATGGGATTATTTTGACCGACAGGAAATCGATCTTCCCGGTTTCCGACGCATGATGAGGGAAGGAGCCAGGGCGGAATATTTGATTCCAGATTTTCCATCATTGTCCTATCCAAACTACTACTCCATAATGACAGGTAATTGTACAGTTTTCTAATCAGATAATAAATGAATGTCGGTTTTATTGAGCAAACTTCAAAGTTTAGAATTAATGTACTTACAGAAGAAAGTTATTATGTATATTTTCATGTCGTAAAACCATGACGATCGCTGAATAAACTTGTATTATAAATTAAACAAGAGTAATTAATATAAACTTGTATCGCAATTGTTGTAAAATAGATAAAGTTTATATTATTATGAATTAGATTTATCTTTGTTACACATGTAAATATGACAGTAAGTAACATGATTAGTCGGAATACATACAAAGCAGAAACAGGGTATTTGAATAGAGCTCCTACAACATTTTCATCTTTCATACTGATGAACAGTTTTATCTTTAATACAAATATTAATGTAAATAAAAAGGTCTGGACTAGGACGATGTTATAATGTTTGACTTTTTAATATTTATATCCTTGTTATGTTAATAAGATCCCGCCCTATTACACTCTATGTTTCCTAGTAAGAATCCGATTTTAACCAGTTTAACATAAGTTCTGTGTTACCTTCAGGGTATATCTATACCGTGCTTTTATATTACGTGTACACGTGTACTTGATATGAAAATCAATGTAAAATTTAGCTGTGAGCATAGGTAAATTGTCGGATAGGTATGTACTAACTTCACAATGTACTGGTATGTCTGTATACAATGACTAAATGCAAAAGATTGAGCAATGTCTGCTATATATAAACAAATGTCATTACATTTATATTTTACATGTACTTACCTCATTCGGCAGGCGTTACCAATCGAGAAGTAAAAGAAAGCAGATATTTAAAACATATCTTAAGAATGTTATTTTTTCATCCGATTGAAAATGGTGTTTTCAAAGGCGTGTCGACAAAGAAATCGAGTCTGTATGAAGGCATTGCTACAAACATCCTCTAATACTCGTTATAAATTGCACTGAACTATTTATATTTTCTAGTTTTAAATAGTTTTTATGACCTCCAAATATTTTGTCATATTAATATCGAATAGATAATCGCTGCTACAGTTCTTTTTAGTAATTTTAAATAAATGATTAATTTGTTTCTCCCCCGTGAATATAATAAGATTATAAAACACTATTTACCATTGATAATAATTAATATCATAAGAGACAGATATGATAATCTTTTTATTTGAACAAACAGTTCTATATGTATTACAGGATTACACTGTGAGGATCACGGAATGGTCGGAAATTACATGTTTGACACGAAACACAACGAATCATTCCTTATAGGTGTTAACAAAGCACAGTACAACTCTTACTGGTGGGACGACGGGGAGCCGTTATGGGTTACAGCTGAAAAACAGGTTAGTATAACAAGTCATGCTTCATTAGTGTCGATCTCAGTCGAAAGATAACTCAGTATGGTTAATCTCGTTTCATTGAGTGTCAGTCTCAGTTGAGAGACAGTACAGTATGGTAAGTCACGTTTCACTAGTGTCAGTGTCAGTTGATAGACAGTACAGTATGGTAAGTCACGTTTCACTAGTGTCAGTGACAGTTGATAGACAGTACGGTATGGTAAGTCACGTTTCACTAGTGTCAGTGACAGTTGGGAGACAGTACAGTATGGTAAGTCATGTTTTACTAGTGTCAGTGACAGTTGAGAGACAGTACAGTATAGTAAGTCACGTTTCACTAGTGTCAGTGACAGTTGAGAGACAGTACAGTATGGTAAGTCACGTTTCACTAGTGTCAGTGACTGTTGAGAGGCAGTTCGATATGGTTTGTCACGTTTCTCTAGTGTCAGTGACTGTTGAGAGACAGTACAGTATGGTAAGTCACGTTTCACTAGTGTCAGTGACTGTTGAGAGACAGTTCGATATGGTTTGTCACGTTTCACTAGTATCAGTGACAGTTAAGAGACAGTACAGTATGGTAAGTCACGTTTCACTAGTGTCAGTGACAGTTGAAAGACAGTTCAATATGGTTTGTCACGTTTCACTAGTGACAGTGACAGTTGATAGATAGTACAGTATGGTAAGTCACGTTTCACTAGTGTCAGTGACTGTTGAGAGACAGTTCAATATGGTTTGTCACGTTTCACTAGTGTCAGTGACAGTTGAGAGACAGTACAGTATGGTAAGTCACGTTTCACTAGTGTCAGTGACTGTTGAGAGACAGTTCAATATGGTTTGTCACGTTTCACTAGTGTCAGTGACAGTTGAGAGACAGTACAGTATGGTAAGTCACGTTTCACTAGTGTCAGTGACTGTTGAGTGACAGTACAGTATGGTAAGTCACGTTTCACTAGTGTCAATGACTGTTGAGAGACAGTTCGATATGGTTTGTCACGTTTCACTAGTGTCAGTGACAGTTGAGAGACAGTTCGGTATGGTTTGTCACGTTTCACTAGTGTCAGTCACAGTTGTAGTATGGTTAATCACGTTTGATTTATTGGCAGTATCAGTTGTGACAGATACACTAGATCATTGACATGTGTATATATTGTTACTGACAAATACACTAGATCATTGACATGTGTATATATTGTTACTGACAAATACACTAGATCATTGACATGTGTATATATTGTTACTGACAAATACACTAGATCATTGACATGTGTATATATACTGACTGTCAGATACACTAGATCATTGACATGTGTATATATACTGACTGTCAGATACACTAGATCATTGATATGTGTATATATTGTTACTGACGGATATACTAGATCATTGACATGTGTATATATACTGACTGACAAATACACTAGATCATTGACATGTGTATATATACTGACTGACAGATACACTAGATCTTGGACATGATTATATATAGTGACTGACAGATACATTAGATCATTGACATGTGTATATATACTGACTGACAGATAAACTAGATCTTGGACATGACTATATATACTGACTGACAGATACACTAGATCATTGACATGTGTATATATTGTTACTGTCAGATACATTAGATCATTGACATGTGTATATAATGTTACTGACGGATACACTAGATCATTGACATGTGTATATAATGTTACTGACGGATACACTAGATCATTGACATGTGTATATAATGTTACTGACGGATACACTAAATCACTGACATGTGTATATTTACTGACTGTCAGATACACTAGATCATTGACATGTGTATATTAACTGACTGTCAGATGCACTAGATCATTGACATGTGTATATATACTGACTATCAGATACACTAGATCATTGACATGTGTATATATTGTTACTGTCAGATACACTAGATCATTGACATGTGTATATATTGTTACTGTCAGATACACTAGATCATTGACATGTGTATATATTCTGACCGACAGAAACACTAGATCATTGACATATGTATGTAGTTTAATATTCTATACGAAAAACATGCATGGTGCATGGATATATTTCGTCTTTTGAATTCGAATGCTTTTGATTTCTGTTATGACGTCAAGTCCTATAGACGTAGTGTCTATTAGATCTCTGATTTGATATATTTTTATACAAACTGAGTTATATATACTGACGAAAAAGATAGAATATAGCCAAGAACTGCATTGCAATGTGTAAGGTCATGGCGGAGCGATACCTCATCCAAATACTATAATGATGTTAGTTTTCATGGAGCCTGTGACGATGTTTGGCATTTAAGCTCAAGTTATTGAAAATGTTGATGTTGAAAGAAATGAACATATGAACAAACAAAATAAAAAACGCCTGAATTACAAATAATGGACCAGCTTATATTTGTTTTTTATTGAACGATAAAAATTATCTTCTTGTCAAAATGCTCAGTGTGCAATGTAAATTTCCCTTTGAGACCTAAATAGCTCTGTAGGTTCTTGAAGTGATCGCTAACAGTTGTTCTATAATATCTTCTACATGTGGTCGATCTCTTTTATCTGTCTTTCTTTCTCAAATCTTTGCCTGTTGTTAAACATATCTGGTATCTACGGACTAACTGTGACGCGTTATATGTACATCGCACATGTACGTACAAAGTTGCACTTAGGTTCGACTTCTGTTTGGAGAGATAGTGTCATACTTTAAAACAGAAATAGCGACATTTGTTTTGAATGAACAGTTGGACCGTAGTCAAATCGTGCAGTAGAATGCAGGCGATTGTTTTAATTGTACGTATTTAAAACCGGTTGCATATTAATTACTTAGGCGAGTAATAATATGTTGTACGATAACACTAGATTTGGAATAAATCGATGACTAGACGTAATATTTCATGACACGTTCTCCTTTTGTTTAAAGTGGCACCTGTTGTTTGAGAAAATGCACACAACCATTTCCTTTGATAACATTTCTCGAAACACACTTTTCAAAAATCATTACCATACATTTCAACAATTTATTTACTGAAACAAAAATATTCACAACCTTTCATGATTATTAATGTAACATCGCACTTGAGCATGGAATTATGTAAATGATATTGAATAGCATTACATTATACTTCTAATTTTAACTTGCGTATGATTTCTGACATCGTAGCTATATCCATATAGACAACCACAGTACTTAAGTAACTATACACTGTATCTAACCCTAACCCATCGAGGGTTTGTTTATCGGATTTATCGCTCTGCCAACAGCCATGATCACTTCGAGACGGGTCTCCATATAGTTGCTGGTCATTACCTAATCCTACCTAGCTGAACAACATACGGGGTGGCCGGCGCAAGTCACCCAGAGCAATTGCGGTTATTCATAGTCATCTTTTAAAGCGAAATTCGCACGAGTGGTGTCGAAGGTACAACGAATGATCCAGTTGACGAAGCACCTAGAAATAAATATGGCTGTGCCTCGTTCTTGCTGTGTTGTATGGCGTTAAATCCAGTGATCCAACCCTGCCCGCTCCAACTTCTCCCCACCCGATTCACGTTTTGTACTCAATGAATTATCTCTCATTTGGGTTTGATATCGCCTTAACTACTTAATTCTCTATCAAATATATTTTTGTCTTCCCGGTAAACAAGCTCATATCAATATTGATCGTAATGCTCGGGATAATTTAGATGAACCAGATGTGTTGGATCTTGATCAATATGGTCAACTGAATTCTACATCATTTCAAAACAGCGCGATAGATAAGACACACATCCAAACGATCTGCAATTTAAAGGACTTAAGAAACTTATGTATCTGTTAAGGGGAAACGATCCTATTTCTACTCCTGGCCAGGATGTGAGGTGACCATCAGGGGCGTTGATCCTACCTACTGTAAAAAGTACCCAACGTTTACCTACCCGAAACTGGAAGACATGCAGGAAGCCATAAAAGAGGGCCTCCAGTTGTTCTCTAACGATTCAGCGGACGTCGTCGGTATGCTATTTATCAATTTGTTATCCAGTTTGTTTAAGTTACTCTTGTATGTAATTTCCATATTGAAATTCAAGGGTTCCATAATATACCTATGATCTCTTCACTTGGCCTCGAAATGCTACGGAATGCTAACCAAAGTAACGGTAAGCAAACATATCAAGTTCTCATAAGGGAAGGACGGCTATTGACTGAGAGCAAGTAGGTGAGGTGATAGATTTAGCATGAGCTGTGATAAAGACTTCTATGTATATTGTAAATTGTTTCAAAAATTGTTCATTGTATCATAAAAAGGTATCTACGTGGAGCTGCCCGATAAATATGGTCACAAGTATGGACCTTCCTCCACACAGCTCAACCAGAAATTGATGGAAATTGACAATGAAATGGGCAAGCTATTAGACGAGCTCGAGTCACATGACCTCCGTGATAAAGTCAATATCATGATTTTTTCTGATCACGGAATGACGGAAGTGAACGAGACCAGAGTTATCAACATTACTGATTACGTAGAAGTAGAGGACATCCGAGTAGTATTAGACGCAGGGGCGAATGTCTACATATGGCCTAATGAAGGCAAACTAAATAAGGTAAATTCCTTGATTTTGTCACCAGGAAACGTACACGTAATTAATAAACAAAAGGGTCCATTTACATTTCATTTGATTATGTTGATTATTTGATACAGAAATTTGTAGAATTCAATACATATAATCTATTGTAAATACAACATCAAATATTACTCTATTTAAATCATAATTTTCCCTAAATTTTACAAGCTTAAAGCTCATGTAAAATCATCTCTTAAGTATTTATACACATGATGTGTCTTTGTCAATAACTAATTAGGATACGGTTTTGCAAAAAGCTTTAAACGTGTAACGTAATCCTCATGATACTTTAAAAAGAATTATTTCGATTCGATTTTAATGTTGAATCTTGAATAAAATATCGTTTAAACAAAATTATACAAATTACAAACAGTGATATATTATTGTGATTACTTGATAAGGTTCGCTTGATCTCTTATCAGCTACGGACGTAAATAAGGCTATTTTAACTGTATAACATATATATAACCGCTAGTGTTCTATAATGCACGACTACCTGTATGTTATGTTCGTTCTTAACAGAGTATTATTTACTGTATGCCGAGACAATGGGCTTCTTTTATGAAATCACTTGTATATTGTGCAGTATATTTTGCTTAAATATTTGATTTTGAAAACTATATAAATAAACTGAGAAATAAGTATAAGGATATTGTTTTTGTAATGAATGACAGGTTTATGCTGATTTGGTCGCTATGGACAACCCACACTTGACCGTTCTAAAGAAGGCGGACATCCCGGATCGATGGTTTTATCGTAATCATTACAGAACATCTCCCATCCTACTGGTAGCCAAGAATGGCTGGTATATTACCACAGTGCGTAGATTTTGCCAAATTGGGTTAATTCATAAGAACAATGCACATTTGTTTCATCCAATTTCAGTATCGATTCCTTTAAAAAAAAATCCAAGGTACATACTGTGATCTATTTTGACACGTTGGGTGGTATGATTTATATGAGTTATCCCCCTTTATACATGTAAACGAAGTTAGATTTCAAAATCTCACCAACCACATACAAAATGAGTTGAATCGTATAGCTAGGATATATGTGCAGTGATACTTTGATTCCCGGCTGATATTCTAACAAATGTATACCATAGATAATGCAATTATTTTTTTGTATATAACGAGATTGATAAACAGAATTTTTTTTCGGTATTGTGATAATCCTAATGTACTTTGATCTAGTACGCCATGTTAAAAAAACAACACTTTTAATTTGTATTCATATAACTTATCGATACTTATTGAGAAAAAAAATGTTTTTTTTTTCAGCCGTTGTTGCCAAGATTTCACACCTATTACGGTTCAGGGCCTATGCAGGGGACACACGGGTTTGATAATAATGAGATCGATATGAGAGGTATTTTCCTCGCTAGTGGACCAGGTAAATACACATACACTGCCTTATCATGAAACTGCCATGCATAAATATAAATAGCTGTTTAAATCAACTTTTTTATTTGTTGTAATAAACTATTTTATCCAATTGATAAAAAATTCTCTAATCGCTTTTATATCTATGGAAGTGTGGAACTCTATGTCCTTGGTAATTATTTTAACATACGTCATAAGGCACTATTCTGCGTAACACCAACGTCACATTTATACTCCTATCCAGCTGTTTAGAATACATTATCCGTGTCTTGACATTACAGCTGTTCGTTTTACTCGGAATGCCAAAGGCTCGCCACTTTATTTTTGTTCACCGTCACCGATATACAGCATATATTTTAAGACAATGGTCATGATATCGCTGTTATTTGTTAGTGGTAGTTAAGTATAACAGAGCTTTAGATAATTATCACGGTACATATTTACTCTCAGTTCAAGATAAAGCGATACAATGATTTTAATAATGTCTGATATTTAATAGAAGACAGATGAAAACACGTTTCGAAAAATGGAGGAAGTTTTCTAAATAAGTTTCTTGTGAAGTCCATTGACTAAATCTATTATAAGGAGACGAAATAATATGAGATATCAGTACTTGATTTTATCATGTATTTATTCTAACACTGCTATATACATAATAAAGTGCAAACTATATTTGATATAAGACATGTTATTACAGATATCTTTTATGCTTCTACGTTCTCTGATTGTCTGTTTCAGATATAAGCCGAAACGTGGTGGTTAAAGGATTCGCAAACATTCACATCTACCAAATGATGTGTGACGTTCTGGGGATCGAACCAAACGAAAACGATGGTCAGTGGAAAGATGTGGCCGGAGTTCTGACCCACACATACGACGATGTTTCATCGGCCATCTTAAATGTAACAAACCTCGCTCTCCTTATCCTTACAACACTGATAAGTCTAGTCCGGGAATCTCTTTGACGTTGCAATTTAGGAAGAAGTCTGAACAAATGACGGAAATGATATGTCGTTCGGGTGTTTCCCGACAAAGACAACAATTATTTGCATTGACATATAGCTAACATATTATTTTCATTGTAAGTGGCAAAAATGAAATTGATGATTTTGTAACATTTCACGGTCATTGAAAGAAGTTCGGGGATGTACAGAACGATTCAGTGGAACTCTTTATCTTCAGTACATACTATTATATCAAGTCGTCTGTGATATTCCTTAAGTGATATACGCAGCTCAGTTCGGATTGACCTAATTATACGATGATGCAAAAAGCAGAAAATACTTCTATATGTTGAAGTAGTAGGGAAAGTGCCCATTCTGGCGCAGTCCCACCGCCTATATAATCATATTATTTTCATTGTAAGTGGCAAAAATGAAATTGATGATTTTGTAACATTTCACGGTCATTGAAAGAAGTTCGGGGATGTACAAAACGATTCAGTGGAACTCTTCAACTTCAGTACATACTATTATATCAAGTCGTCTGTGATATTCCTTAAGTGATAAGCGCAGCTCAGTTCGGATTGACCTAATTATACGATGATGCAAAAAGCAGAAAATACCTCTATATGTTGAAGTTGTAGGGAAAGTGCCCATTCTGGCGCAGTCCGCCGCCTATATAATCATTAGCACACCCGACTCATACACCCACCGACTAGGGTGGAGGTGCAGATCGATGACGTCACATGTATTTCCCGACTGTATCTATTTATAGCTCGGTATTTCCTGACTGCTCTATTGATAGGGATTACTTCATTCTTCTGTTTATAATGGAAACAAAAGACACAGATAATTAACAAAGAAATAAAAACAAAAGGCACCTATTATGTACACATTTAGTATCCCCGTCGCGTTGGAATGGACGTAGGTCGGAGAGCCATCCCACGCCCATCCTTACAAACATCACCTATTATATAATGGACAATATATATTATTTACAACTACTCGATAGTCATCTACCTCCCATGACATATTACTAGAGCGATCTGTGTATATGTACATTCTCCCATGACACGAGGTCTTGAAATTATACGTTTTTAGGGTAGTTCACTCTCCTAAGCGCGATATTTACAAATCGGTTACATCAGATGCCGGTATCCAAGAATTAAATTTCTTTGGCCAATGAAGCCATTTGATGTAATACTCTTTATCACTTTCAGAATATTTTATTGTCATGGTGGTATTGACAGTAGGAATTGGGCAAGTCCTCTCCTTACAGTGCATAAACAAGTATACAGACACATCAATCAAAATTAGAGATAACAGATAATAATAATATTAGGAATAAGAATGTAGAAGATAGATTCAAATGGATGATTATATAACCGAAATGCAAAATAGGCATCACCATCGTTTGTATTATTGAGTACCAGAACAGTAACATAAACTAAAAAATACAAATTAGGTATCACAAGATATTACAAGACTGGGTCAAAATATGTCCATTTGTGGTGGGGCAGGCTGCAGGTTCAAACAGTCCATTTGCACATAATCCTGAGCTGAGTCCCTAAAATGGACAGGCGGACCCACACTTGAGACATCAAATACAAATGAGAGATAGAAAAGATAGAAGTATAGAATGGGATGTACATTTGCTAAAATAGGCGACCAGTGTCAGTTATGAATCTCTGAACTATATCAAGAATAAATTTATTCATGTTTGCATCAAGTATAGGAGAACCTTTGAGAAATGTATCAATTGAAGGAGGTATAGAATCACTAAGGTCAGAAAGGGAATTAAAGAGGAGTTGTCTCTGGTTAGTAAAGAAGGGACAGTGGAAAAAGAAGTGGGTACAATCTTCAACTGGGTGGCCACAGTTACAGGCAGGGTTATCTTTAAGGTGGGAATTGAATAAATCAAAATTCAGATTACTTGCAGAGTTTCTTAGTTGACATAAAATTATGTTAGCTTTTCTTTGTCCTTTATATTTGAAAGTATCATTACAGTGGAAAGGAGGAATGGTAGTTTGCTGTGATAAAAAAGATTTTTTTATCGCATAAATAGAAGTTAATGAGGGATACAGACAAGATGGGCCATTCCATTCATTCATAAGTTTTGGAAAGAAGCTAGTGCAATATTGACAAGTTCATATATGGGGCACATCAAACAATTTATTGTGTCGAAGTGGATAAGGAGCATTATTATTGTTTATAAAAGGTTGGATAGAGTCAAATACATGAGGAGGGCATCTGTTATTTAAAATCTTTAAAAAAATAGATATTTTGATGTAAGTGTCTTCTTTTAGCTAAGGGTATTAATCCAGACTCATTATATAGAATTGCATGACTGGTGCCCCGTCTTAGGCCAGTAATAATGTGAATTGCCTCTAGTTGAATTGATTCTAAGATGTTGCATTCCCTTTCTGTGCAATTAGCCCAAACAATATCAGCATATTCTAAAATAGGACGAATAAATGTAATATATATTAATTCAAGTAACTTTCTGTCAATTTTATACTTTAACATTCTAAGTACATTTATTCGTTTATAAGCTTTCTCATAGATAGAGTTTATGTGGTTTGACCAATTAGCATGACTATTAAAAGTTAGACCAAGGTGCTTATGGAAGGTAACATTTTTAATAACTGAATCATTAAAGTACAGATTTGGATGCAATACTCTTTATCATGCCCTTTTCCCCTGGTCTTCAAAATTTCTTCGACTTTCCACATGTCGTCATCTCTTACATCCACTTTCTGTAGTTCGGATTGGTGGAAAGTACCTTTGATCTCGGTCCCCATTGTAGTCTTTGATTCTGTACTACGGTAAACCTCCACGTAGTATCCTTTGAGAAATCGTAAATATCTCCCACGTCCATTTCTCGTCATATGAACGGATTCCTCAAATGTGACAACCTCATTTTATTTCCAAACTTGAACTTGAACGGTTTACGGACCTTCGTTTTTTTTGTAAGGCTGGCTCTTTCTTTGGCCAGTACATCCTCTACCAGATAGAAGTTTCTTTTGCGTTTGTGAGCAGGAGCCATGCCGATAGTCCTGTGATACGTCTGATTGTAACTATCGGCGAACGACTGTAGTTTATTTACGTATTCGTATTTTCTGTGTGTAATATCTGTATAACCTAGACTTGATGGTCTTGATGACATGCTCTGACACGACTGCCTTGGATTCGTTTTGTGCATATAGATGTTTAATTCCGTATCGATCAAAGAGCTTGTTGACTTCCTTAGATCTAAATTCCTACCCTTGTCACTACGAATCCTAGCAGGTTGTCTTCCTTCACTGAGAACGTCTTACAGAGTGTCTGCTTCATATACACCTTTCTTATCTTTAAGTGGCCTCATCCACATATACTTCTATGACTTTTTAACTTAACCATAACCATGAGGTCGGCAGACCACTAATCGTCTATTCCCGTATTTACTGTATTTACTGATGACATATCTTCCATACTTTCTGACGTATCTATACAGTTTATCTGGTCCGTAGTAACTTCCGGCATTGTTGGGATCGTAATAAACGTCTCTCAAATAGTCTTCACACGCAAACATGTTATCACTTCGAGTGTCTCTGTTACAGTGCCAGATGTATAGTAATTTCAATCCTTACATGTACAGATGTAAACAGTATGTATCGTTCAATCATCCTCCTCCTCCTCCTCTTACTCATTCTCGTCATCTTCGGTCTCTGATTCTTCATTATCCCAATTCTCTTCTAAGATGTGGCGGTTCTTTTTGATGGCCATTTTAAATCGCTTTGCGATTGTCGCAACCTTCGTCCGTAAACTCTGTTACGTCTTCCATAATTCTTTCGTGAATGGTTCCGTTTTTGAGCTGGAGAATGTACTGAATAATGGACCCGTAGTTTTCAATAAACTGATCCATATTTTTTCATTTTCATTTCTCCTCCGCTTTGTCCTCAGACATCACCTCGTTTACGTATTTCCCATATTTTTGCTTCCATTCTTCTTCGTTTGTACTATAAGCTTCATTCATCATGACGTCAAAGGCCTCGTACTCCTCACTTTCTTTTTCCTCGTCACATGATTTCATTCTCTCGAGTGATAACCATTTCTTGGCAGCAGGTTTGTCTCCATTATCCAATTTCCTCTTATGAGATTCGTTTTCAGGACAACAGCTTTTCACGTGCCTCTGTAAATCGTGGACGTCATGGAACATGATACCACAATCGTCACAGGCAGACATCTTTTGGAGTTTCTTCGGAATAGAGTAATTGTGGAGTTTCTTTTTGCTGGGAATACGTCCGTCCGCTACGAGTGGTGTTATCAAAATAAGCAAAAGTTCCTTATCCCTTTTTACAGACATGAACACGTCATGTCGCAGACGTAGCGATTCGGATGTGGTCGATTTCAAATCAACTAGCAAATAGCCATTGGGCTTTCCATGTGAAATTTCTCTTCAAATGTTGAGCATTTCCTGGAAAAAATCTGTCTGGTAAGAGTCATGATTGGTTGTTTATCTACAGGGTTGCTGAATATCATCAAATAGTATCAGTTTCTTCGCTGTGTGGGATCTTTGTTGTAATAGAGATTCTGGTTGATGGCTATTACAGACAGGTTTCTGTGATGACTGCCCTCTATAAACAACTCATTGATCCTAGGATCCTTAGATGCCGATGACATGAGGTCATCCAGAATAACGAGGTTTCTGATTCTAGGGTTAATGAAGTTATCCTGATCCAAATCGAGTGGTATCCCCTGAATAAATTGGACCTCTGGTAAAACCGTTGACATGATAACGTCGTAAAGGGGTTGCCATCTTTTGTAAAGCCATAAGATTCTTTGTTGAATCAGTGATATCTTCGTCGTACAGTTTTGAAGCAGAGTTTTGATAAAGTAAGTCTTTCCGCAGGATGTTGGTCCAGACACATTTGCGGTGAAAGGATGTTTAAAAACAAAAGGCTTTTTGATGTTGCTACGGCGGCGGATACGTATGACTGCCCTCTTGCAGCGGCGAAGGCGGACACGCGTGACTGCCCTCCCTC